GAAGTGGAGCTCAAGTGGTACAGTGCTAGCCTTGAGCCAAAGGAGCTTGGGGACAGTGCCCAGGCCTTGAGTTAAGCCCTAGGATCAGCATCCCCCTCCCACAAAAAAAGAGCATTTAAGGAGAATATTAGGAAAAATATGTGTGTGTTTTAATTTCCTTTTTTTTGGGGGGGAGGGTCTGGTCATGGGGCCTGAACTTTGGGCCTGGGCGCTGTCCCTCAGCTCTTCAGCTCAAGGCTAGCGCTCTATCACTTGAGCCACAGCGCCACTTCCGGCGTTTTTTCTTTTTACTTATGTGGTGCTGGGGAATCGAACCCAGGGCCTCATGCATGCAAGGCAACCGCTCTACCACTGAGCCACTTTCCCAGTCCCTTAATTTCCATTTTTAAGACCTGGTTTGGAGAGTAGTTCCTTTTGATTTAGCCTGAATGTCCTGTATTGAACCACTTTCTTTCCATACTTTTCTTCATATCTTTCTATCTCTGTTTCTATCTCTGTCTCTGTCTCTTTCTGTCTGTGTGTGTGTGTGTGTGTGTGTGTGTGTCTCTTTCTATATATATACCTATATATATATAGATAGATATATAGGTATCTATCTATCTATCTATCTATCTATATACCTATATATATATATATATATATTTTTTTTTTTTTGTAACTGTCTGTCTGTCTATCCATCCAGTACTGGAATTCAAACTCAGGGCCTCAAGGTTGCTAAGCAAATGCTCTACTGCTTGAGCCACACTCCCAGTCTTTGCCTCATTTCATTCTGACAAAAAACCTCCAGGTAGTATAGAATGGCACACACCTATAAACCAGTTCTTGAGGGACCGACACAAAGCCTGGGCTATATAGCAAGACCTTGTCTTAAACTAACAACAATCCCAAGATGTAGATGTTTTATTTATACCCATTTTACAGATTTCAGAGTAGGCAAGTAACAGAGCAGGGCTAGGATGATGCTGACACCACTATGTTCCCTGTCTGCCACCAAGGATGCCCCATCCACCAGGAACACTCTCTGGCCCTCTCTCTTGGGCCAGATCAGCTACTCTCATCTCTCTTAGCCTCAGTCAGATGGAAGTATTAGACTAGGTCAACAAGTTTTAGCAACAGAATCCTTTCCCCAGTTGAAATCTTGTTCTAAAGGTTAGGCAGCTGAGGATGTGGCCTAGCGATAGAGCACACAAAGATAGAAAAACACAAAAAAAGTAGTACCTAGCTCTGTCTGAAGTGTAAGAGTATGTGTGTGTGTGGTGAGGGGGAGGTGTCTGAGCCTCGCATGAGGGCATCTCTCCTCATTCTCTGTATAGCAGCATCCTTAGAGTTATAAAGGGTACTTGTTGAAAACCACTCCAGTAGATCAGCCCCAAGGGGCTTTCAGCCTGATACATGATGAAGGTCTGTGACCAGGCCAGCTCAGCCCTTTGGGACCAGGACCCGGCCTTCTATGAACAAGTACAGTGGCCAGCAAGCCCTGGTACTGCCTTGCTCTTCTGCAGGTCTCAATCTTTCCACCCATAAAGGTGGGCTGAAGTTGAACTAGACCATTCTCAAGCCCTTGGATCTTAGAGACAGGTAGGGTGAGGAGGGAGTCACAGTCCTGAACTAACAGGGATGGGGAAGGACACAAGGTAGTTTCTAGGCTGCCAGAAAAGGGGGCAAGACAAGCAAAGAGGACAGGGGACAAGGAAGCCCCTGAAGAAGTGGGCAGACACAACAGACTAGCCCTAAGCATTGGCGTTAAAGACATGCCCACTCTCATCCCTGCCCCTGGCCATTCTCCATCACGGTGAATGTTGGGGAGACAATGGACTTCGGAGACTCTTAACTGAAGTGTAGCCATTTAAGGAAGTGGATTTGGGGAGTCACAGATGATTTTAGGCATTAAACTCCAGAATTATAAAACAGAAGTACTTCAGTATCTCCAAGTATAGAAGCACAGAATTTTAAAATGATGTAAAATTAGAATTCTAGACTTCCAGGGGTATTCTGGAAAGACCAGACACATAGATTCCTCTAGGAAGGTCAGAGAGCCCAGTGGTCTCAGAGATTGGGCAGGGTAGGAGGTCCTTAACATAAGAGGCCTGTCTGTAGGGAAACCACTGGCCAGGTTCCTACCAGGGTAGGCTTTAAATAACAGAACCATTTCCCCCGTTGAAATCTCGTTCTAAAGGCTGTGTGAGGGCTGAGGTCAGCATGCTTCAGAGAATTGCGAGCTGAAGGTGTTACTTGAGAGCTCTCCAGGCACAGGAACCAGTTGGCTCACTTCTGTCATCCTAGCTACTCAAGAGGCTGAGATCTGAGGATCTCGGTTCAAAGCCAGCCAGGGCAGGAAATTCTGTGAGACTCCAATCTCCTATTAACCACCAAAATCCAGAAGCAGAGCTGTATCTCAAGTGGTAGAGTGCTAGCTTTGAGCAAAAAAAAAAAAAAAAAAAAGCTAAGAGACAGTGCCCAGGCAGAAAGAGAGAGAGAAAGGGAGAGAGAGAGAGAAAGAGAGAGAGAGAGAGAGAGAGAGAGAGATCCCTCTTGGGAGTCCCTAAGAAACTATCTTTACTCCAGAGACTCTGAAGAACCCTCTTGCCAGGCACCACTGGGAGAAACCTGAACTATCTTCTGGGCTTCCTATAGCTGTCCACACCTGGCCTTTCTTTACTTTCTCAGAGCTCCTTCGATCAGGGAATGTGGAAGTACCCCTCAGCCCCACCTGGGAAAATACTGCAGAGACAGGAATCCTTTAGAGGAGGCAGCAGCAGACCCATCACAGCTGGCAGACTCTATCTGACCTGCTGCCTGTTATACAGACTGGTAGACTGAGGCCAGAGACTCTCTGTGGGTCTCAGTCTTTATATGATGTGCCACCATCCCCTTGATACCTTTAAAACTACATGACATTTAGTCATGTAGTTGGTGGCTCACACTTCCCGCTACTCAGGAGACTGAGATCAGAGGATCATGGTTCCAAGTCTGTAGACTCTTAACTCCAAGTAACCACCAAAAAGCCAGAAGTGAAGCTATATAGCTCAAGTGCTAGAGTACCAGCCTTGAGCATAAAAACCAAGGGGTAGCTCCCAGGCCCCGGGTCCTTGCCCCAATATCAACACCAACCCCCCCCTTCCCAACCCAATTTACTTTTAGATGACATTTGGAGGCCCCCTGAATCCTAAGCCTAAGGAAAGGATACTTGAAGTGATTTCCAAAACAGCCCTACCCTTTGCTTTCTCCCTTTTCCCATTCCTGCAGACACAGTTCCAGCTTTTGGGATCTGAACTTTCCAGCAGTCAATTTTTGTCTACTTGGGCCTGTCCTCCTGACCTGTGCACCTCTCCATCAGTAGTTATAGTGGATCAGGCCAGGCAGCCATAGCGCTAGCCACGCCACCAAGACAGCTCCAAGGAGGCGGAGGAAACAGTCCTCTCACATCAATGTTTATTGCTTCAGAGCTGCTGGAAGCAAATCATCATGTGCTCAGCCTTCAGTGCTTTTTAAAGAACCTCTCACCCCCTCCCCTCCCTACACCCCCTCTCCAATGTGCTGACACAATAATAATGGAGACAGCCAGACAGGTTCACAGGCAGGGACCAGCTTCGTAACACAGAGCTCTCAAAAACTGACTCCAGGAAGGAATCACAGCAGTTCCCACACAGGATGGCACTTTCTCTGAATCCGAGGCACGCGGCATATTGCTCTACTAGGAATTTAACCTTTTCTGCCCCTTTTCTGAACCTTGCACAGCAGGACAATGAGGAAGTGACTGACCACTCCTGGTCACACGGCTGGCATGTGACCGAGCCCAGCACAGTGGTCCTGGCTTCACCCACCTGTCCCACCCCATTGCCCACTGGCGTTCTCTATCCAAGGGCCCAGTCTGGAGAGTTTCTGTAACCAACACAGCCTCTAGCCTTCCTCTACAATCACCCCATCTCCCAGGAAGTTTTGTTCAAGCTACCAGAATGCCATCTCTACCATATTTTAGCCTGGGCTAGGCAGGACTGGGATGGGAACACAGGGGTTTTCAGCTGAGTTCCTTTCCCCTCAGAACTCCCCTTCCCACATCTGGTTTAACCCCTACTCCCTAGCTTAGCCCCAGCATTAGCCCAGCCCTTCATCGCTTCTGGAGCCTTCCAAGAAGAATGAAAATGCATGTCTGAGCAGTCCCTTTTACCTGCTGGTGCTCTGCTTCCTGCCTGAGCTGTCGCCATAGCTGCCTCATTGGCTCTCTCCACAAACTCTCCTTGTCTTGCACAGTTTTCTTTCTTTCTTTTAAATTGTGCTTACTGGTGGTACTAGGGAATGAACGCAAGGCCATGTACTTGCTAGACAGGCATGCTACCACTGGAGTTACATTTCAAATGGGGTCTCGCTCCTCCCATCCCACCCCCATCATCCTGGAGTGTGATCCTCCTATTGACTATTCCAAGTAGATGGGATATGACAGGCAGGTGTCACCAGGCCCAGCTTTTATTGGTTGTGATGGGGGTCTCATGGACTTTTTGCTGGGTTGACATCAATCTGAGATCCTCAAAATTTCAGCCTTCCAAGTAGCTAGGATTACAGGCCAAATCCTTCGCTCAGGCTGCTTCTGTCACTGCAATGCCTGCACCTCTCTTTTCTATACTTCCTCAAATCTTAGCAGGTCCAGCTCAAATCTTCCTTCCGGAAAGTCTTCCCACACCAATTCCTATGGCTTTCAATTCTTTCCATTCCTATAATGTATTCAGAATTTACAAGACTCTAAATGACCAGCGCTGAGGAGCATGGACTCAGGCAGGTCTGGGTTTATGTTCCAGGGCTCTCTGGCTGGATCTGTGACTTTCTCTGGTCCTAGCTCTCCTCAGCCATGGAAGGAGCCTGTGGTAGTCACTGTGAGAAGCTGTTGGAGGATGCTTAGGACTCAGTCAAGCTTGATAGCAGTGAAGTGCAAAGCCCGCAAGGGAGGAAGTTCAGTGAGTTGGGGCCAGAGCCTGGCCTAGGGCGGGACGTGGAAGGGGACTTACCTTGCTGACAGGTGAGGCTGGACCAGTCAAGGTCTTCTGCCTGAAGCGGAGCTCATGCTTCTCCTTGGACATCTCCTTGGGGAAGAAGAAGTAGGGGATGGCAGCCAGCGCCACCAGGCCAGCAGAGATGAGAAAGCCCAGCCACCAGGCACCCACCCATCGGGGGTCCTTTGAGGTCAGGCTGACACCACCTGGAAGAGAAAACGAAGGTAATATAAGGCCAGGATAGGCTGTCACTTCTATGACACTACCCTAGGACTGACCTTTGGGACTAAGGCAGCCAGGACCAGGAATCAGGAGACTTGCATTCTAGTCTTGCCCTTGCCACTTATGGTCTGTGTGAAGAGGAAGAACTTGACTTTCTTTCTGGGCCTTAGCTTCTTTAGCTACTAAGGTAATATGGTATAGCAGTCAAGGTCATAGAGTTAGAAATAAACTACTAGATAACCCTTTAATAACTTATAACTTGGAGCAAGCTCTTGAATTTCTTTGTGCCTCCATTTCCTCCTTTGTGATACACAGATATTAATAGTGCTTTGGGAGACATATTGGGGACAAAGATGGTTTTGTGTGTGTGTGTGTGTGTGTGTGTGTGTGTGTGTGTGTGTGTGTAGTTTTTGAGACAATCTTGTTATGTAGCCCAGTATGGCCTCAAACTTCCAGTCTTCCTGCCTCAGCCACCTGAGCTCTGGGACTACAGGCTTGCACTACTTGCTTAGCTAAACATTATTTTATATCATAGGCTTGTGACAATTATAGAAAAGAATACATGTAAAGCTAAAATGAATTTTAAACTAAAAGTTTAAAATTCAAAGCTCCAGGCTGGGAAGGTGGCTCAGCGGTAGAGTGCTTGCCTCACATGCATGAGGCCCTGGGTTCGGGATTCCTCAGTATCACATAAACAGAAAAGGCCAGAAGTGGCACTGTGGCTCAAGTAATAGAGCACTAGCCTTGAGATGAAGAGCTTGGGGACAGTGGCCAGGCCTTGGGGACAGTGCTAGTTCCATGACTGACCAAAAAAAAAAAAAAATCAAAGCCCCAATACATGCAAACAATATTATAATAAAGTATTTGTCCCTTTGTTCCTTCTTTAATTACTACTACTACTACTATTATTATTATTAAATTACTATTATTAAATTAAATAACAGAGCTGTTTGTAGTTCTCAGACCTGGCTAGACACAAAATCACTGGGGCTGTTTGTCAAAACTCCTTGGCATCATTGAAGTCCCACTCAGTCTAACCAGAGGATAGAGTGTAAAGGTATGTGGCTTTACTAGATTATTTCCAGTGTACCTCTGGGCTGCAGTGCACAACTTAAAACCTTCATAGCCTGAGGTTGAGCTGGGTGCCTGAAGCAACACCAGAGTGAAATGTACCAACTATCACTGTGTAGGAGCTTCTCCATGTGCTGGACCCTGAGCTGTTCCAGGCACACTGCAGTCTGTGGAGCTGGGATGGGGGCAAATTTTGTATAGAGGGGACTTGATTTACTCCTCACTTGCTTCTGTGCTAGGTTAGAGAAAGTTCACATACATTTTCCAATTCCTCCTCAACTACAAGCCAGTCTGTACCTGCAGAAGGCAAGATCTGCCTGTCCTACCTACTCTGCTACGAAGGCCTTGGGAAACACTATATTTGCACAGACAGAGCAGAGGGGTGTTTGGCAAACCTAAGAAACATAGCTCCCAGGACTTTTCCTTCAGGGAGAGCAAGGGACTCAATCACAGCCCTGTCTGACTCGGTCCTAGCCTTCTAGAAGGTCAGGACTGTCTCCAGTGACTGTCGTACAGAACTGTCCTGGGTGGAGACATCCGGAGAACAAACATTAAAGAACAAATATCCATTCAGCCATATACATGTTCTCCCCACCCCAAGGCTTCTAGAACCTTCTGGAAAACCTTCAGATGAGAGACAGGACTTCTAGGTAAGAGGCAGAAGGTGCCCAGAGCTTACAAGCAGGCATGTTCTCATAGGAACCCATCCCAGCCCTGAGGGCCCAGGAGTTCTGGCATCACAGACATTCCTCCTCTGCCCTGGCCACTTTTACACTGAACCCCAGCCATTGGCCCACTCTGGCCTCTAGGTGGATCAGAGACCAGATCTAGCGTTTCTTCAGACTCTGGTTGTCAGGACTAGAAGGACCCTTTGTTCACATTCCTTCAGGAAGAAGCCCAAGGTGAAATGTGCCATGAGTCCTGTTCTAAATTGTCCCAGGGTGCTATGGTCCCCACGGATCTCCCAAGGCTGGTTTCTCTAAAGACACACGAAGCTCTCCGTGGGCCAGGCAGAGATTTTTAAAAATTTGTTTGTTTGTTTTTGCCTGCCCACACATGCTGGGCTGAGGGTCTGGGGAAGGGTTTCGGCAATAGAAGGGAGAGCAAGCACAGATCCTCTGTGATGCCACTTGAGTTCACCTCTGTCGCCTCACTAGATGGTTGCAGCTTTGGGAGACAGGCCAGATATTTTCTCAAGGATGAGGAAACTGAGGCCTAGAAAGGTGAAAGGCATGTCCAAGGTCAGTGGCACTGCTGGTTGCTGGTTCATTGTCTCCTAGGAGGCCACTGGTCAGTTAGCTACCATCGGTGTGGCCCTAGAGACAAATGCACACTCCTGGGGCTCACCTTCTGGCATCCGGTCAATGTCCACATAAAGGCGTAGCATGAGGCTGCCCAGCCCGTAGGCCATGCCCGGCCCCATCACGGTCACTGCAAACAGGAACCCTGTAACACAGGCCTAGGTTAGGACCCTCTGTCCCAGGCTGCCCTCAGCAGCTTGGTACCAGTCCATTCTTCACGTTCAAGTGCAGGCCAACCTTTGCCATCAAGACTAAGGACCTCTTTAAGGCTTCTCCACACCTTTCTTAGCCACATGGGGCTAGAGGCCAAGAACTCAATGCCCAGCCTCCACCCTAGGCCTCTCGTCCTCCCAGTTGAACCTGACCGGATTATCAGGACCCAAGAGATAAAATGATCCTCACCAAGATAGAGGGGTGAGTTGCTGTGGTGAGCAAAGTCATCGATGTAGGAGATGCCAAAGGGCTGAATGGGCACTCCACCCACACCTAGCAAGGTCTGTGCTGCAAACATGATTCCCACCACCGTCAGATGTCTGGCCTCTGTGTAGCTTGAGCAGCTGCCGTTGGAAGAAGCAGAGGCTGGGGCCGAGGTTGTGGGCAGACACAAGGAAGTCTTGGAGTCCTGTAACATGTCCTCTGAGAGATGATAATAAAGAAACAATCATAGCGAATGCACACAGCACTTAGCACACACAAGGGACTGTGGATGCCCAAGTGGTCTGGCTTCTGACTCTCTGCTATTAAACTTTCCTGTGCTACCTTTCAAAGCAGAGCCATTTGAAAGTGCTGGGGTCATGGTGGCTCTTAGGTGAAGTGAGATGGTCAAAATGGGAAGGAGTGTTAGAATTTGAACTGAGTCCAGAAGAAAAAACAGGATTTTCTAGAAAGAGAGGCAAGAAAGGTGGGTCCAGGAAGTCATCATAGTATGAATAAACCTCTGAGTCTCAAAAGTGCACCATGTGGGTATAGCAAGTTCAGGATGGGGGAAATCATGCCGTTCAAGAGACTGAGATCTGAAGATCGAGGTTCAAGGCCAGTCCAAGCAGAAAAATCCCCGAGACTCTTATCTCTAATTAGCCAACAAAAAAGCTGGAAGTGGAGATGTGGCTCAAGTAGTAGAGTATCAGTCTCGTGTAAAAAAAGCTAAGAGACAGCACCCAGACCCTTAAAGGTACAAACCCCAGCATTGGATTACATGTGCATACACAGAATGAGAGAGAGACAGACAGACAGAGAGACAGAGACAGAGACAGAGAGCTAGAGAGGAGAGGCAAGAGAGAAAGGGGGAGAGAGAAAAGGGGAAGAGAGAGAGAGAGAGAGAGAGAGAGTGGAATCAAAGTACATGAGAACAGGCCAGGCATACAGGAAGAACTAGGCAGAGGGAGGGAAGTCCAGCAGGGCCATAGAGGGTTCCTTGGAGTTTATTTTAAGGACACAGTGTCAGCTCAGGGTACAGACACAGAATGCAGGAATGACTAATTACTTAATTTAGTACCAGGCATTTGTTCCCTGTGGGTCACCAATATTTGTTGAGCAAACTTGAGGAGACCCTCACACTGTTATTATGCCAAACGTGGGCACAAAGTGGCCTTTTCTATGAAGCTCTCCCTTTGTGAAAGCCAGCAAAGCTCAGAGAGCCACTCCCTGCAACCTAAGGTCAAAATCCTGCATGTTGGCCTCACTGTCTGACTTGAACAGAGACCCTTGCCCCTCTGACCCTCTTAAATAAAATTTCTAGAACCACAGTTTGCTAAAAATGAGAATTCCAAAGGTAGAGAGTTCATCAGTTCAGAGCAGGGCTGTAGGCATAGTTCTAATGGCTACAGGCTGGGGATGGGGGTGGGGGTGGGGTGGGTTACCTCCTCTCTGAGCCTCAGTATCCCCACCTGGGAGGAAATAGTGAGGACTCTGACCACAGAGAGGGTAGGTTGTGAATGGTGCTCTTATCTACTGGACCTTAGATGAGATGATTATTCTAGAGAGCCTGTCTGCTGTTTTTCTGGCACTTCATATATCTGTAGAAATATTGGAGGAAGGATGGATGAAGAACAGGACAAGGGTGTATCACAGAATGACACTCCCTTAGTAAATACAAGGGACTATAGCCAAGGGGAGAAGGGCTTTAATCAGGGTTGGCAGTGAATTTTTAAAAAGGGGACATGTGTGCCTTGCACAAAAAAAGTTCTGCTGACATGGAAATTCTGGACAAAGAAATACAAGGAAATATTACTAGCTAGCATTCTATTGACAGCTATCCACTCAGGCCAGGATGCCCCCCCCCCCCTTTGCATCTTTCAGATACTCTCCTTCTCTGCTGGTTCATTCCTGCCTCCACTGGCAATACAATGCTGGCCTTCTCTCCACTGCTACCCCCAGCCCCTTGCAGCCCCCTCCAGAAACATGATTCTTTCCTTACTCAGGGAATCGCTCACACTTACTCCAACCCACATGTCAAAGGACATATCTGCTTCATCATTCCTCCCCTGGTCTTGGTGGCTCCAGAGGTGGGAGCTGCTAGGAGGATGGGGGGAAAAGGCTGTGCTTTCCCCTGGGAAACTTGATGCCTGGCTGGGGGCATGGGCTCCTCTTCTGGGATGCTTCCCCTCATGCAACTGACATGTTGGGTGTTTTGCTTGTCTTTCTTCTGTCTACTGGGAGCTCTCTGGAGGTAAGGACTAGAATGCTCTGGGAGGGGTCAGGAGGGTAGTATTAAGAGTAAGTTACATGGACTATTGGCTGGATGAGTGAATGGATGGATGATGGATGCATGTATGTATGTATGTATGGATGGATGGATATATGGGTGGATGGATGCATGAATGGATACATGAGTGGGTAGGTGGATGGACAGATGGATGTGTAGATGCAGGAATGAATGGATGAAGAAAGGATAAGGAGGTGGGGAGGCTGATAGGTAAGTAGGAGAGGGATAGAATGAACTTGGGTCTTTCTTAAGTCGACCTACAACAACATTTCACTGGGCTGAACAAGGTTTTGTTATTCTTAAGATTCCTTCATTTTTGCTGGGCACTAGTAGTTCATGCCTTTAAGCCTAGATATTCAGCAGGCTGAGATCTGAGGATCACAGTTCAAAGCCAGCCGTGGCTAGAAAGTTCTTGAGTCTCTTGTCTCCAATAAGCTATCAGAAAACAGGAAGTAGAGCTATGGTTCAAAGTGATAGAGCACTAGCCTTGAACAAAAGAGCTCAGGGATAGTGCCCAGGCCCCAAGTTCCAGCCTCATTCCTGGAAAAACAACTTTTCTTCATTTTTTTTATTTGTTCATTCACTTATTCTTTCTTTTATTAGTGTGTTGGTTGTTTATGAGAATCAAATGCATGACTACACATAAAGCGCTTGGAGCAGTGTCTTGTTATTATTGTTTCTCAAGAGTTTCCTTTAGGATCCACTCCACATTAGATCCTAAAGCAGGCTGTTTTAAGTTCATCCTTACCCCAAAGAAACCACACATGAGCTAGCTCACACCAAGAAAGGACTAGAAGGCTTCTCCCCTGCCCTGGAATTACTCCATACCCTGCTCCTGGGACCTACCAGAGAGATCCACCTGAGCTTGGCTCAGGGGACAGTGCGGGGATGGGGATGGGGAGGACTAGCAGGTGTCCTGGGCGGCACCTTCCCACTCAGTGCAGGCCTGCAGTGGCCCTAGCATTGGTACAGGACTGCAAGCACCCATCAGTCTCCTGCCCAGCCCTTCCTGCTCTTACCAGGGCTGCTGTGGTCATAGCGATATGGATCCGAGATGAAATGAGGGAGACTCATGAGCAGGCCTGCCAGGGCCACCAACACAGCCCCACAGCCGATCATACGGGGCCGATGTACTCGGCTGCCAAAATAGCTCACAAACACAATCAAGGCTGTGTTTCCCACCTGCAAAGGGACAGAGAGATACTGATTAAAGTGGAGCAGAGTCCAGGGGCCTACACCATTCTTTCTCTAGTGCTGCCTTCAATGTTCTCATCTGGATGACTGACTGGCTGGTTGAATAAAAATCGCTGGAGTCAGCTGTCAGTGGCTCATGCCTGTAACCCTAACTACTCAGGAGGCTGAGATCTGAGGATTGTGCTTTGAAGCCAGCCTGGGCAGGAAAGTCAATGAGACTTTTATCTCCACTATCAAAAAGCTGGAAGTGGAGTTGGGGCTCAAGTGGTAGAGTGCTAGCTCTGAGCAAAAGAAGCTCAGGGACAGTGCCCAGGCCCTGAGTTCAAGCCCCAGGACTGGAACACACGAACACACACACACACACACACACACACACACTATTATTGGATTTCTCCTGTAACCCTAGCTACCTAGGAGGCTGAGATCTGAAGATCCTGGTTCAAAGCTAGCCCCAGGAGACAAATCTGAGAGACTCTCATCTCCAACTTTATCAGCCAAAAAAAAAAGAAAAGAAAAGCCAGGAATGAAGATGTGGCTCAAGTGGTACAGTGCCAGCCTTAGATAAAAAAAAAAAAGTCAAGCAAGCTGGGCTGGGAAGGTGGCTCAGTGGTAGAGCGCTTGCCTTGCATGCATGAGGCCCTGGGTTCGATTCCTCAGCACGACATAAGCAAAATGAAAAAAGCTGGAAGTGGTGCTGTGGCTCAAGTGATAGAGCGCTAACCTTGAGCTGAAGAGCTGAGGGACAGCGCCCAGGCCCAGAGTTCAAGCCCCACAACTGGACCCCCCAACAAAAAAAAAAGTCAAGCAAGAGCATGAAGCCCTGGTACGAAACAAACAACAGACTCTTAAGATCTATGCTATAAATATGCCCCCTTCTTAGAATTCTCTCACTTCCCTTTTAGGAAAGAGAAATGAGGATGAAGCTAAAAAGTCAATTTCGTGTTAGAATGCGGGAGAGAGAGGGCAATCAAGGAAAGGGATTTTGTCTCAGGAACACCATGAATGAGACACACAAATGCAGTATAGCTGAAGCCAGAAGACGGAAGCTTGGCATTTCTAGCCTTACAATCACAGACTTGGGATTCAACACTGGAAGGACTTAGACGCTCACAGGGCAGGTGCCTCTGCCCCTGTGCTTCCCGGCTTGTGGCTGGCTGAGCCCCAGGCTCTTTGAAGGATAGTGAGGCCATGCTAGCAGTGTACTGGTGGGGAGACTGACTCTGGAGAGGGAGGACCACGGTCCATTCTCCAGTTGTGCACTCATTCCCTTCCAATGTCTGAGGTGCGTCTGAGTCACATCTGTGACTAAGGCACTGTGCCGCTAGTGGGCCTTGGGTCAGGAGAAATATGATTACCCCCAGGGAGAGAATTTTATAGAGCTCTTTGGGGGAGATGGGTAGGAGAGGGGGAGACAGCTTCTTTCTGTGAGTGACATTTGGTGCAGAAGGGAGGGGCATAGCTGACCTCTGATGTCCAAATCCACTCAGAGTGGCTCATTCACTCTCCCCTGGAAAGAGCTGTGAGCCCTAGGCCGAGGGCTATGGATGGGGGTCAGCAAGGCACAACACTGAATAAGATCACACCTCCCTCCCACAATCCTGAAGACAGATACTCCATCACCATATCACCCTCCCTCCTGCCACCCCAAGGTCAGAGAGAGCTCTAGCTGTAATTGAAGCCTCTCTTCAGACAGTACCAGTGACTTTCTTTGATTCTTTCCTAGGACAATCAATAGCAGGCTGAAATACATAAAGGAAGCCAGACTCTGGTAGCTCTTATCTATAATCTGAGCGACTTGGAAGGCTGAGATTAGGAGGACTGTCATTCAAGGCTAACCTGGGCCAAAAAGAAAAAGAAAAACAAGTTCACAAGATCCTTTTCAACCAATAGCTGGACCTAGTGGGGCACGCCTGTCCTCCTAGCTAGCCCCCTAGGAAATGTAAATAGTCAGACTGTGGTCTAAGCACTCACCCAGACAGCTAGTCTCAAAAAGACTGCTGGGAGTTTGGCTCAGTGATAAAATATTTGTCTAACAAGCATGAGGCTCTGAGTTCCAACCCCAGCACCCTAAAAAATAAAGGAGTCAGAGGGCAAGCAAGTAGACACTAGGACCCTGGGTAGCTCCTTCATGTCTCCCAGTGAAGTGCTCTCCCAGGGCAGGCCCAGGGGTATTAGAAGATAGCTACACACACAAGGAAGATCCAAGAGGGAGGAGTCTCCTCTGGACCTCCACACTGAGTATGTGGCTGGCCAGCTTCTGGGCCAGGACGCAGCAGGAGGAACATGTGAAGGGGGTTCACAATGTGGGGGCTGCCGAGGGCCCTGGGAGGACCCTGGGAGGGTGGACAGTGAGAGGAGGCTGGAAGGAATCTCCCTTGGCATCCACCCTTGGGGCTCAGTACCTCATTGAAGGCAGCCAGCAGCCCTGAGGTCTGGCTGGAGAGGCCAAAGCGCTTCTCCACCGTGGAGATGGAGCTCTTGAGATAACCGGAGATCATGAGCTGCGCCAGCTGCAGCAGGCTGTGGCACAGGACGAAGAACTGTGGACGGGCACAGTGATGGGAACAGGCGGCAGGGCACAGTTGGAGGTGAGTGGTCACCAGGGATACAGAGATGGGGTGGGGACACAGAGAGAGTGGGATCCCACAGAACAGAGATGGGGGCCACACAGGAGGAGGTGGACACATGGGAGGAGGGAAAGGGGGGGGAGAGAAAGAGAGAGAGAGAATTGGTTATTAGAGCAACCTATGACTTCTTCCATAAATCTGAATACTACGAAAGCTGTCCTGGGTACACTTTTCAGGGGTCCGGGGGTGACTAGAGACCCCATGACTAAATATAGTGGCTTTGCGGGGTCAGGAATGGTAGGTGCTCCTTCTGATCCTCAGAGCTCTCCAAGGACTGGATTGGACCTTCTTCCCTATTCCACCATCCTGCTCCCTTCTCCAGGAAGCTCTCTGTGATTTGCCCAGGTCCTCCTCTACCTCACTCCTACCTAGTCCTCCCCTACAACTGGCCTGGAGACCAGCCCCTACTCTGAGCTCTACCTAACCCCTCAACCCTCAAACAACTTAGCCTGCCTATGGCCTTGCACCGGAAAAATCCATTGAATTCCCATTGAAAAACCCATTTCAAAGAATTTCAATTAAAAAAAGGGTATTTGTTTGGGGCTGGGAAGGTGGCTCAGTGGTAGAGTGTTTGCTTTGCATGCATGAGGCCCTGGGTTCGATTCCTCAGCACCACATAAGCAGAAAAACTGGAAGTGGCACTGTGGCTCAAGTGGTAGAACACTAGCCTTGAGCTGAAGAGCTGAGGGACAGCGCCCAGGTCCAGAGTTCAGGCACTATGACTGGCAAAAAAAAAAAGAAAAAAGAGGGTATTTGTTCTAGAGCTTAATGTATTGCACTCTGTTCTTCTGAGTCTCTCTTTGCTCATCTGCACAATGACAAAGACCCAGCTTGCTAGAGTGATGGTGGAAATTGAGGACATGATGAGGGCTTGGAAGGTGGCTCAGTGGTAAAGCTTCTGCTTAGTATGAATGAGACCCAGGGTTCTAATCCACAGCATCAAGGGGGAAACAAAAGGAATACATCATGCATGAACAATGAATCGTACTTGGCATAGGGCCTGGCACAAGAGGTATCTGTGGGTTATGTGGGCTATTTAGGGCCACCCTTGTGGGGTCAGGACAGTCTGGTATTTACACAGCACAGGATTATTTCATTAGAGAAATGGGAGACAAGAGGCCTCTTCCCCAGCCTTCCCACAGAACAGAACCTGTTTATTCACTGGAAGGAGAGAACCTTCTCAGTGACCCAAACCAAGCTAAGAGTGACATTTGTACACCATCTCTTGGATCCCCAGCCTCCCCTTCTCCAGAAGATCCCACCACTGCCCAGCCCCAGAGGTACCTTGATGCTGTGGAATGCACGTAATTGCACATCTTGGAGTTCTGGGCAGGCTTTGCCCACAGATGTGTCTTCTGTGACCATTGTAGCTTTGGTGTCCTTGTCTGGCATCTGAGGTCCTTCGCTTGCTGGTCCTGTGAGACAACCAGCCAGGAGGTGAACTAAAAATCCCGGAGAAGGGATTCGTGGGGTGAGGAGGGGGAGGTAGGCAGGAACTTAGGAGTTGGTGTGTATCTGAGCCTTCCTGATTCCTACCTAGGTCAGGATACGTGGAGCGGCCCTTCCTGACAGGGTGTGACACATATGGCTTTGCCAGGGACCTACTATTTCTCAAGTCACCCTGCTCCCCGAGTGGATCTACTAAAGAGAGAATGTTGGTCTTGCTTCTCAGAAACTTCTCGAGCAATGGCTCCAACAGCAGGGCTGAGCCTGCAGCCTCCGCCAGCCTTGGCTTCCAGCCATAAGACAGCATGTGTTCCTGGAGTCTGGGCCAGGGTCTGTCTGGCTCTGGCAAGGATCAGAGCTGGGTGTTGGGGGCTGGAAACAGGGGTCAATGCAGGGTCCAGAATCATGGTTGAGACTTTTTCTGGGTGTACATAGAACAGATACTCCAACATAGCGTACCACCCTGCTAATAGCCAGTCCAGTCCCCAAATCCTATATCAAGACAGACAAACAGACAGACAGCTGGTCAGTGAGAAAGGGCCCTCAGAGCTCATCCCATTTAATGCCTTTGGGACAAATGGCATGATGGCTGGTCAGAGGCAGGGCTGTCTTGGATCCTTGGCCTCCCTGTGTGTTGGCTTTTTATCTCTGGTAAACACTACAACAAGAAGACAGCTTGCCTTCAAAGGCTTCTCCCAGGGCCTCTGGAGCCACGTCTCCACAGGGAACCTGGAAGTCCAGCCTTGGGAGACTCCAGCCAAGCTTTGAGATAGAGACCAGGGCCTTCCTCTTGCTGAGGCCCCACTTCCTGTGGGAAGCTAACCCCATTGTTTCAAGTCCCTCTCCCCACAAACTGGAGTTTCCCCTCATTCAGCATGGCCTTGTGGAGCCTGGAAACTAACCTGAGGACTCCCCTGACACTCCCAGACTACTTCCTTCTCCATCTTCAGTACTAGAAGGCAAACTCAGAAAGGGCTACGAAGACCCTGAGCCCCCTCAAGCCAGCATTTTGCAATCCATACAAAAGGTACCTAGTAACCTGATGACTGTTTTCTGATTTCATTGACATAATTCACATACCATAAAATCTACCCTGTTAAAACTCACAGCCCACAAAATCATACAACCATCACCACTACCTAATGGTACAAGACTTTTATCACCCTAGTAAGAAGCCCTGTACCATCAATAGTGCCCCCCTCCCCCGTCCTTTTCTCCACAGCTCAAGGCAGCCACTGATCTATTTCAGCCTGTCTGGATTTGCTTTTTTTTTTTTTTGGTCTAGTCATGGGGCCTGAACTCTGGGCTGGACTCTCTGTCCCTCAGCTCTTCAGCTCAAGGCTAGCACTCTACCACTTGCGCCACAACACCACTTCTGGCTTTTTTTTCCCTGCTTATGTGGTACTGAGGAATCAAACCCAGGGCCTCAAGCATGCAAGGCAAGCTTGCTCTACCACTGAGCCACCTTCCCAGCCCCTGGATTTGCTTTTATCTAGATATTTCAGGCAAATGAAATCATACAGTCTGTGATGGGTCTTTTGTAATTAGCTTCTTTCAATAATCTCCACCCGTGTTGTAGCATATGTTGACATTTCATTCTTTTTTGTGGCTGAATAATACTCCACTGTATGGATAGATTACATTAGTTTTGCTGTTATTTGGTTCATAAACAGTTGGGTTGTCTCCAGTATCACAAACACTCATGAACAACTTTTTTATTTTTGACTTAGGGTCTCACCATGTAGCCAGGTTGGCTTCAATCTCACGATCTTCCTGCCTCAGCCTCACAAATTACAGACATGTACTACCACACCTGGACACGTTCAAATTTTTATGTGTCATGCATTTTCAAAGAGGAGAGGCATGAAGGCACCTAGCCCAGTACCTGTCACAGGCAGATCTCCAGTGAAGACCATTTTCTTCTCCTCTCTTCTTTTCCTGGTAAATCTACACACACACACACACACACACACACACACACACACACACACACACACACACACACACACACACACACACACACACACACAGAGTTAGGTAACACAGCCCAAGCCCAGCTGGAGCCACTACCTCTAGCTTCTCTACATCTGACAGATCTGTCATCACTTCTGGATCATCTCCCCCAACCACAGGCCTGGGGAGATGGGAACCTTCTCCTCTAGCATCTCACTAACTGTGGAGGTCCACCTAGTGGATGGCCTGAATTTGGGTCCCTGGCTGCAGCCCTGCTTGTGTTCTTTGATCAGCTATTCCTTCGGTTCCTTAGTTGAAGGGCAGGGAGCTCTGTCCTCCCCACCTAGTGCAGAAAGCACTTAAGAGAACCGAAGCTTCCTGCCTTCAAATTCAACCTGGGCACTAAGTCCACTGAAAGCAACTCTTACCACCACATTAACACAATGCTGTTGTGCAGTGCTCCTTATTAATGTTCCTTCTCTCCCCAGCTGGTCCAGCCCAAGCAAATGTTCTTCACGGGGACTTCATGATGGTCTGATTCTCTCTCTCTCTCTCTCTCTCTCTCTCTCTCTCTCTCTCTCTCTCTCTCTCAATCTCTCTCTCTCTCAATCTCTCTCTCAATCTCTTTCTCTCAATCTCTCTCTCCCTTCATCCTTCCCACACTCCTTTCTTTTTCTTCTTTCTCTTCTTTTACCTTTCTCTTCCTGTCCTTTCTTTCTTTTCCTTCCTTTCTTTTTTTCTTTTTCTTTCTCTCTCTTTCTTGACCAGGTTCTTACTATGTAGCCCAAGCCAGATGGGACTCGAGAACCTGAGACCTATCTTATTCCTGCTTCTACCTCCTGAGTGCTGGGATTATAGGCATGTACCACTATGCCTAGTGTCCTCAGAATCTTTTTTTTTTTTTCATTTTTGGTGCTGTTCTTGGGACTTGAACTTGGGGCCTGGGCACTGTCTCTGAGTTTCTGTACTCAAAGCTAGTGCTCTTGCACTTGAGCCACAGCTCCACTTCTGGAATTTGGGTGGTTAATTGGAGGTAAGAGCCTCACAGATTTTCCTGCCTGGGCTGGCTTCAACCTGCAATCCTCAGATCTTAACCTCCTGAGTAACCAAGATTACAGGCATGAGCCACCAGTGCCAGGTTCCTTGGAATCTTTGAGTCCCTTCCCACAAAATCCTCCCCTCATGGTTTCCACAACCACAAACAGTTGTACCGAGATTCTTACTCTATCCCAATGGAGTCTCCAGCTACTCTCTTCCTCCTGGCCTTAAAAAGCTTGAAAACAAAGCTGGGCACCGGTGGCTCACACTTGTAATCCTAGCTACTCAGGAGGCTGAGATCTGAGGATCATAGTTCAAAGCCAGCCCAGGCAGGAAAGTCCGTGAGACTCTTCTCTCCAATAAACCACTCAGAAAACCGGAAGTGGTGCTGTGGCTCAAGTAGCTAGCCTTGAGTTGAATAACTGAGGGAACAGTGCCCAGGCCCAGAGTTCAAGCTCCATGGCCAACCAAAAATAAGGGAAAAAAGAAAAAAGAAAAAGAAAAAGGAAAGCTTGAAAACATATTTCCAATTCTTCCTCCATACCAGTTTTGCCTCCTGCTGAGACCACCGGGGTGGGGGTGGGGGTTAAAGCGGTGGTCTGGCCCTTTTCTTGCACATGGTGTGAACTCGAGCTCACTGGCAGGTTGCATCAGTCACGTCTGGGGAGCTACATTGGAATACAATGCATGTAGAAAGTGTTCACTAAATGCTTCTTCCTTCTTGATGAGGTAGTCAGTCCTTCTGTCAGCCGTCTGTCTGCCCACACCCCTCTGCCTACTTCCATTCTTGCTTTTAGAGGTAGCAATAAGCATTGCTACATCTAGAATGAGAGAATGAGGCAAAAGTTCAAGGCAGAGGCCTGGGAGGAATGGGTGTGGAGGGAAGGTGAGGAAGCTCCTGTTCTCTGCTCCCTTTATACCTATGGACGTAGCCAGCCTGGTACACCGGCCCCCAGGGAGGAGCTGGCTTTACCTTGTGACCTCAGTGTGGGCTGCTATAGATGGAATGTCGCTGTATGCAGGATTAGGTTGCCCACCCCCCACCACAAGCTCCTAACCATCTTCTGAGGGTTCTCCTGGGACTCTATGATACCCATGTGCAAATAGCTCAGAGAGAGGAAGAGATATGCAGGGTCCTGGAGCTGGGAATGGCAGTTTGGACTGGAACCCAGACCTGTCCAATTTCTGTGCCCCTAAAAGCAACTGTATGCTGAGTGCCAGTACCTTACACCTGTAATCCTAACTACTCAGGAGACTGAGATTTGAGGGATCAAGGTTCGAAGCCAGCCTGGGAACACAAATATGAGAGATTCTTATCTGTTTTACTAGCAAAAACCCAGAAATGGAGGTATGGCTCAAGCAGTAGAGTACCAGACTTGAGCAAAAAAAGCTAAGGAAGAGCCTTGAGGCTCTGCATTCAAGCTCCACTACTGGTACACACACACACACACACACACACACACACACACACACACACAGAAAAAAGGTAAATATAGGGGGAGGATGGGATGGGAAGGGGAAACAAAGGAGGAGACTACAATGCTTGATAAGAAATGTACTCATTATCTTGCTCATGTAATTGTAACCCCTCTGTACAGTATTTTCACAATAAAAAAATAAAAAGGTAAATATCAATAAGTAAATAAAATAAAGGCAAGTATAAGAGGATGTTTTCACCCATGGTCTTAGAACTGATGCAAAGATAATCTCTGTGTGGCCAATTCTTGTTTCCATCCAGCTTCTGTCCTATGACTTGTCACAGATGCTCTATGGGACAGTCTTGTCACTGAGGCAGATCTCAGGACCGTCAGTGCTTGCTGTTGGGAGAGTGTCAAAGAGGCCATGTATGTGGCTCTCAGTTTCCCAGAATACAGCATTTTAGGGGCCAGAACTCACCACCAAGGTCTGAATTTGTCCCTTCAGGAGAAATGCCCATAGGTGCTAGCACATGCCAAGACAAAGGCTCAGGAGGGCTCTG